TTGACACTTACTGTGTGACTCTGGGCAAGTCACTTAACCCCCATTGCCTCATTAAAAAAAAAAAAGCCAAGAGATGGAGATGAGGAGGGAGAAAGTCCCAAGCATGGAAACAGCCAGTAAAAATGCCCAGAGCTAGGCAACTGAGTGTCTTGTTCCGGATACAGTGTCACTGGATGGAAAAGTATGTAACAGTTTAGATATAAAAAGATTGGAAAGAGGAGAGCAGGTTATAAAGGGCTTTGCATGCCTAAACAGAATTTATATTTTGAGAGAAATGAAAAGGGAATGGATTCTAAATTCCAAGGCAGCTAGGTGGTGCAGTGGACAGAGCACCTGCCCTGAAGTCAGGAAGACCTGAGTTCAAATTCAACCTCAGACCATGTCACTTACTAGCTGTGTGACTTTGGGCAAGTCACTTAACCCCAATTACCTAAAAAGAAAAAAAAAGAAATACTAAACTCCATCAGATTCAGAATGAGAGGCTAATTTATTGGTTAGCTTGGTACTGAAAAAGACCAAGAGCCTGCTCTAGCCCAATTAGAAGTACAAATAATCCACAGTCTTCTGCCCTGGCTGCACAAATTTTGACTAACAGCAAATAATAAAATAGTACTTCCTTTTATTCTAAATTTACCTGGTTGAAGCTACAAAGGGTGTCCCCGAATTCCAGCATTTAATGAATGAATTTTTTCACTTTAATTATAATGTTCAGGATTCAAGGGATTCATTATACTAAAGAGGTCAGTGTTCTTTCTATTATACTGCCAAATATAATCCTATATTGTATGAATAATATGATATTATACTTTATTATTGCATATATCATATGTTATAATGTTATATTAAAGCATATTATATAACTGCCTCAAATTCTAGATTTTACATAAGACTTTATGCTTTTTTTCTTTCTAGTTACATAGAACACTAGAGAGATCATCTAGTTCAGTTCTCTTATTTTACAGGTGAGGAAACTGAGGCCCAGAGAAGTGGGTGACTTTCTCAAGAAGATACAGCTCATCAGTTGTGGTTCAAAATGCCCATTTAACTGATTCCCAAAGCTCTATGGTTGTTTAATACAGTCAACCCTCAATAACTATTACTAATGAAAGGGACATTTTTTTCTCATAATTTACCTATCAATCTCACATATAATGATAATAGTTAATATTTATATAGCACTTACTGTGTTCTAGGAACTGTGTTAAGTTGGTCCTCACAACAACCCTGGGAGTTAGGTGCTATTATTATCCATATTTTACAGATAAGGAAACTGAGGCAAACAGGGTTAAGTGACTTACCCAGGGTCTGAAGTGTCTGAGACTGGATTTGAACTCACTTTTTCTGATCCCAGGACAAATGCTCTATCCACTGTGTCACCTAGCTGCTGAAACTTTTCTTATCCATCGATATTCATTATTTTATAATGGGCAACTTCAAAATAGCCTATACTAAGTTGAAAGTGTATTACCCTAACCCTCTCAAGAATCCAAAATGATTCCCCAAGGACTGACATTCAAGGCTCTCTACAACCTGGATCTTACCTTACCTTACCTTACCTTAGCTATCTAAACTTATTTTCTACTACTCCCCAGTATTTTTTCTCTTGACTCCTCTATATGGAGTGCTTATTCTGTAACTTTCTTCCTTTCTGGCTATCTAAGCCTTACCTGTCTTTCAATCTATAAGGAAGCCCCACCTCCACCTCAATATAACCTTTCCCAATATTTCCCAGCCAGTACTAATTGATTCAACAACTTTATTCAGCATCTACTCCCTGTGAAGCAGCATGCAAATAAAAGGGGAGTGGGGAATTCAGGCAGTGGAGGCGCTGGTAAATGTTTAACCGAACAGCTGACCCATGTCCTAAGAGTCCAGAGCCAGCGCAGTTTCCATTCTACCATACATGCCACACATTTTTTAAAAAACGTACTACCTTTTCTTCCGACAAAACTAATTATAAACAATGTAAAACAAACATTCCAAAGCCCCAAAACAAATAAGCACAATCTTTAAAAAAAAAAGTGGTTGCCATTGTATCCTATTTATTATTGATTAAAAGTCACAGAGATTATACACATTAATTTTTGTAAAAGTAGTACCAATGTTGTCCCTTGGATTTATTATTCCTTTTGCTGCTGTTCGATATTAACTTCTTTTGACATAGTTTAAGTGAGTGTTATACCATAAGGTTTGGCATTTCATTACAGTGAGGCCAATAAAGTACATACCTAGCATCCCGGTCTCAGAGGTTTGAATATGGAAGCAACCTTGGAGTCTTATGGTCCAATGGTCACCAACGAGGGAGGCGGTAGAATATATCCAGAAGCGCCTGGATTGACACCGCCCCCGGGGGTCCGAAATCAACCAATGAGAGGGTAGGAAGATAATTCAAATCCCAGCCTCCCCATACCTCCTAGAAGATACTGAGCTAGGCCCACACAACCACACCGTACTCTTAAATAATTTCCCATCCCCCCCCTCCAACCACAGACATTCCTGGGTTTTGGGGGCGTGGGCGCGTTAAGGCTGTTATAATCTGCTGTAGAGGCTGTGTCAAGGACCCTTTTGGCAGTCTGGTGAAGCCTATGGGCCCCTTCTCAGAAAAAAGTTCTTTAAATGCATAAAATAAATAAGTAGGCTTACAAATAAAACTAATTGTGTTTAAGTTGTTTATTTGTATGTATATATACATATACATGCATACATATTTTTTAAACAGAATAAGAACCTTTCAAATTTCAGTCCCAAGTCCCATTTTCTGCAAATATCCTTTCCCATGCCCCTTAATGCTGGTGCCGTTCCTCTGCAGGTCAACTCTAATTTATCCTGTATCTTTTGTTTGTGCATAGGTGTTTTCATGCTGTCTCCCCTGTTTGACTGTGAACTTCTTGAGAGCAGAGACCTTCTTTCGTCTTTCTTGGTATCCCTAATGTTTAACACATACTAGGCACAAATCTAATAAATATTAGTTGACTCACCGGTGATCTTACATACCTGCAACAGCAGGCAAAATTCCCCTGGTCCCTCCTCCCTCTCGCAGTTAGTTCCCATACTTTGCCCCCATGCTGGCACCTTGTGGCTGCAGCAGGTACCCCTCATCAGAAGACTGTTCCCTTCTGAGAGTGTTGCTGGTGAGGGAGCTCCCTATTTCACTCTTTATGGCCAGGATAAGTCATAAATTATCTTTCCCATTTCATTATCTTTAAACCCCCAAAGACACCCCTCTTCCGAACTTCCATATGTCTTTTGAGGGCACTATCATCCTTACAATCACACAGCCTTTTAGTTATTCAGGACTTCTTTCTCCCTCACCTCACATATCCAATCAATGGCCATTTAGCTGTTCCTTCTCTTCAATATCTTAGTTTAGTCCTTCATCACCTCTCCGTGGACCACTGCAATAGATGCTTAATTGATTTCCTTATGTCAAGTCTCACCTCTCCAACCCATCCACAGAAGCCAAAGTAATTTTCCTAAAGGACAAATCTAATCACGTCATTCCCCTAGTAAACTCCAGTGGCTCTTGAATCAAATGTTATTTCATCTTTATCTTATCCTTTCATAATGTCCATTTTTGTGTTTTATAATGTACATATTTAGTAGTTCTTTAGCTCGTATATGTGATTTATAAGTGATAAATATACACATATGGGGGGTGCTCAATTTTTTTTTTACCAATAGCAGGGTCAATGTAAAAAGTTAGGAGAGCACTACTTTAGTCCCACCCTCTCCCCAATTTACAAGTGAGGAACTGAGATCCAGAGAAGGGATATAACACTTCATATTTTTACAAGGCTTGAAGGCTTGCAAAGTGTTGTATTATAGATACATAAGAATAAATTATACATATTTATTATTCATTATTATTGATACATTATATAAATATGCATAAAATACATCTCACTTGAGCCTCACCACAACCCTGTGAGGTACACGCTCATTTTACCATAATAATTACATAATCATTTATTCTATATTCAATCCTATATAAATATTATGTTATATATAATTATATAATGTAATTATTATATTATCATAATAATGATCCCTGTTTTACAGATAAGGAAACATTGAGAAAAGTTAAGGGACTTGTCCAGAGTCACACATCTAGTATTTCTTTGAGAAGCAAGATTGAGAACCAGGTCTTCCTGCTTCCCAGATCTAGGGGATTCCAAGTACCGCCCTCTGTCCACTGCGCAGCCACTCTCCACACAGAGCTTGTTCTGGTAGGTCCATAAAGCTGGAGAGGCTGTGGCTACTGACCGGGTATAGATGCAACCTCCAAATAGAGTTTAGGGAGAAGCTCGTCACCAGCTTGGCCGCAGGGAATGAACTTTTGGCCACAGTTACCCCTAGGAGACCTTAAGCGATCTTAGTCTGCATTGGCGCAGACGACAACTTCCACTCCTTGGAAATGATTGACGCCTGTGAGAGAGGCTTGCACCGCCCACTTGCGCGGGAAAGGAAGCTAAGCCGAGTGTAAAGTTCGGTAAAGCGCCCTCCAGACCAAGTTTAGCTAGCCTCAGTACTTCATCTGAGCTTTTGTGTCCGTATAGTCTCTCTCCACAAGTAGACTTCAGTCGCAGAGCGCAGGAAACCACCCTTTATATCCATCCTCCACCCCCACCCCGCCACCCCAAAGCCCGTGGGTGCTAGCTTTAACCAGTTACCGCCAGGGTTAGCTTGACCCAACACCCGGGAGGTAAGGGGCAAAGAATGTGTGGCCCCAGGCTGGGCGGGGAACGTCCCACCCCTCAGCCAATCCAAGAAGAGCCGAGGCAAGAATGAGTCCTCCTCATTGGCGGAGCCATAGGAGGCGGGCAGACTTCCCGGCACCCAACTTTTCCCAGTTCGCTGTCTAGCTGTGGAAGGTGGGGTTGTGTGTTTGGGGCCAGGGTGGGCGTGGCCTGCGTAGGGCTAGGTCGCACGTTCTCTCCGTTTCCCTTTGTCTTCCTCCCTCGTCCTACGGGGCGGGGTGGGCCCCGGCAGGCCGGAAGCGGAAGCATAGGGCACCCGGGGGGCGGTCCAGAGTGTGCACCGCCTACACGCCGGTCCGGCCGCTGCCCTCGCTTCCGTCCCGCCCGCGCCATGCTGTCCCTGGACTTCTTGGACGATGTGCGGCGGATGAACAAGCGGCAGGTGAGGCCGGCCGGGTCCCACATCCCGGGGCCCGCCTTCCCCTTCTTCCCGCCCTTCGTCTGCTCCAGCCGTGCCGCCTCCTCTCCCCGCTCTGTCCCCTCCCCTTGGGCCGCCCGGGGCCCGGCCGACCTTCGGCCTGGCCACCTGGGGGTAAGAGGCAGCCTGGAGCCCCCGAGTCTGGGACAGGGGCCAGACTTGCCCCTTGACCTGGCCCAGTACTGCCTCGGGGTGGGGGGAGGGAGGCTGCTCTCCGCCGCCTCCCCACCCCCCACCCCCTGGCTAAGAGGCACTTACGTGGAATAGCCCCCCCGGACATGGCAGCAGAGTACCTGGGTTCCAATTTTAGCTTTGCTCCTATGTGACCTTGAGCAAGTCATTTCGCCTGTGTGGGTGTCAGTTTCCTCGTCTGTAAAATGAGAGGACTGGACTTCGAGCTCTAACATTATAAGATTTTGTTTTGGTTTCTGAGGTCAGTTTATTCTACCCCAAGACCCAACTTTTTCTGCTTGCTCAGGGCCTGTGGGGGTCAATTCAACCAGTAAAGTTAAAGTTGAGGTAGGCTGGCCCAAAGAGTCCTCCAGGTGGGTGGCGAGTGGCAGGATGTACCAGTCTGGACCGTCTCTCAGCCCCCTTCCCAAGAGGATTCAGGAGGCATTGGGTATAAGGAGCTTCTAGTTATTTTGTCTTCTAGAGGCCTGTGGGACTGCTGGCCCCAAGCCCGACTGCTTTGCAGCATCCTTTCTGCTGTGGTATCAGCTGCAGGATTCAGGGGATGCTTCTGTGTGTCATGGGTGCAGCAAAAGCAGCAAACTTAAGTCCTTCATCTCTGACAAAGTAGCAGACCTTTACTGGACATTGATCTGGTGGATCTGTGCATGGTACAGTATTTGGAATGCCATATAGTTATTTACACATGTATGTTAGCTGCTGTTAAGATTCGGAGTTGGAGCAGTATCACAAATGTGACCTTGTATTCACTTAGAGATATAAAGTATTGCCCTTTAAAGAGTCCTTAGGTTCTGTGTTAGCTTCCAAGGATCTTGACCTTTAGTTTCTAAATTATAAGCTCTTCATTTTTTGCCTAAATAATAAGGCTTTATTCAATGTTGGGTGTGGTAGACATACTAGATACAGCTATCAAAGATGATTAATACTGGTGTCTTAAGCACACAGTCATTGGGTCATAACAGTGTAGACTCTTGTTTGCTGCAAAACTATTTATAAATCACTAGATTGTGTTCTGGAACTCCATATTGAGGCATTCTGATTTATCGCTATTGATGAAATCATTTCTGCTTTCTTGTTTCTACTATTACAGATTGTAGGAGTAGGAATATACTTTTCTTAATCTTGAATTTGGGGAGTGGGGGAAGAAGCTCACCTGGCTTGACCACAGATCTGTCTAGGAGAGATTCCACTCTCATCTCCTGCTCTTTTCTCTGCCCTAAAACTTCCAGTTGCTAGGAATCCAAGGCCTATTTTCAATCTTTCCTTCTCCCCACTGATCCTACTCCATGATTAGGTTTCCTTTGCCTCCTGTCACACCATAATGACTGCAGTTGCTTTCAGCCAGACCATCCACAGACTCCTGGCTTAAAGTTTCAGTTGCATCCAGGGACACTCTGCCAAGGAACAGCTGACACTGCTAACTACTAAAGGGACCCCTCAAAAGGGGAAGGACATCTAGGGCAAGGAGCAGACAGGGCATCCTGATTATCAGGGTTGTATTCACGACTTTTGTGAGTACCTGAAAAATGAAGAAATTTGTATATGAAATCAGAAAAGTGTTGACATAGACACTGATGATAGACATTGAAGAACTAACCAAATGAGAAGAGGAAAAACTAAAGAATTTTGTTTGGTTGTATTAATTATGTAAATTACATGGACAGTTTAATTTTTGCTTAATTGCCCTGAATTATTTGCATATCATTAAATATAGGCACCTGTACGAATTAAAAATTTGTTTATTACAGCACTAAACTATTCTCAGCTCTCATTTTGCTTATATAGCACGATTGCCAGCTTACTACTTAAATAAGAAGGAAATACAGTCATTAATCTGGTTGTAGTGCCAGTGTACAAGGTAGATTGACCTCCCCATGACATGAAGGAGTAAGGAGCCTGGTATTGGGTACCTTCCATAATATCTTCATACTAATTTTCTAGCTTTATCTCCTTTTAAATTAACCTCTTGGTATAGCCAAAACAGTATACTTACTGTGGGGTCATTTCTTGTGCTTTTTTTGCTCCCTTCAGTTTCTTATGTGATAACCTCTGAGAAGCCTTTTGTGCCCTTCTTTACAGATTATTTAGAGACTTTGCATGACTACCTGAGACCCAGATGATCTCTTCTAACACTGACTATCTGTGAGACTTATTTATTTTTACTATGTTATTTCATTTATCTTATCTCATAGTCTAGCTCCTTTAAAGGTAGAAATCAGATCTTCTACCTCTCTGCATTCAGTGCATTAAAAAGAGTACATGCTCAGTAAATATTTGTTGGTTGTTTTTTGTAAAGGAATCAGCTGAGATGAAATGAGCAGAGAAGTGTTTTGCTCATGTCTGTCCCAGACTTTTTTCCTCCTTTTTCTGTAGTATACTCTACATTGTATTCCTTGGACTCCTAAGGAGCTAGGTAGATCTCAGGTATTACTTTATAATATCATGTGCTTTCATAGAGATTATCTATGATCACTTAAGTTCCTTCCAACTTTAAATATTGTGATCTCATTTGAAGTTTTCTGGAAAACTGGCCTGGAAATTCCCAGAAACTTAGGCAACATATTTTTAAATCAGCAATGTAAGTATATTCAGAATTCTCTAGCCCATAATTTTTCCAACCCTCTTTATTCACTCTAGATGTATAAGAAGCAGCTATACTATCAGATATCTTCTATTTCCCCGATCCTCTTAGAGTTACATGGCCATCTCTTATATACTCCCTTTTATAGCCACTATTAAGCTGGCAGCAGGGAGTAAAGAGGGCGTGGTGGTTTGGGCAGTAGCGGTTTCCCACTGTACCTCTGTGGTGATTAGTGATGCATAATGGCAAAAAAGGAATCTCCTACAGAATTAAGCCCTCACTGTACCCTTGCTACTACACCACTAAAAACTTCAACACCCTTTAGGATAATAGAAGGGAGGAGAGACTGAAGGAGGCAGTGGTCAAAAGCAAAACACTAGTGACAGGGGAAAGGAGAAAAGAGGGAAAAAAAGCATAAAAGGGGAAAAAAGGATGGAGAAAAAGACACAGATATCAATCATAACTGAAAGCTGAATCGCTATCTTTTTTTTTTCCTCTTCTGTTGAGTTTTGTTTCTTCTTTCTGATGGTTGCTCCTGTTGGTTTTAATCTTTACTTACAACTTCACTAATGTAAAAGTAAGTTTAATAGGAATGTAAATGTATAGCCCATAGCAGATTGTGCACCGTCTTGAGGAAGGGGGAGAAAAATTTTAAACTCAAAAGCGTATGGAAGTGATGTTGATAAATCAAAATAAATTAATAAAATAAATTTTTAAAAAACTTTAACACCCTTTAAAAACTACTTTATTTGCCTTTGCCAGGTGGCTATTGAGAAGTTATTTTGAATTTCATCTACAAATTCATAAAATGTAATTCCAAAGATTGATTTTAATTGGATTTTGTAATCTTTTTTACATACACAAAAGCAGTGACATTTCGGTTGCCCTTCCTGTTTTCTACTGGATGAACTGAATTGGTGGTGAATTTTTTTCTGTCTTAATGTGTATGCTTTTGAGGACAGGACCTGCAATTTCACCAGTTTAGGAACTCTTACCCATGCAGATTAGTGCTTGCTTTGACTTACACAGTCTGAGAATTACCTAGGGCACTGTTTAGGTTAGGAGCCTAACCCTAACCATAAATGCCAAAGATGAGACTTTATCCACTGTAACAGGTTGATTTGTGACAATGTACATGTGCTTTTAAAATTTTAAATTGGAATGCTTGACCATAACCAATACTGGGGTTAAGTTTTACATTTTCATAAATGGTGAAAAAAAATTCCTGTTGCTTATAAAGCAAAACATTTCTGAGGACACGTTCTAATGCCTTTAGGTGAGGAGTTTAAAGTAGCTTCTAAATATTATATCTCAGTATCTCTTAGAAGAAAGGAAATTTGGTGCTGTAGTAATTAGGGGGTCAAGTCTAAATCCTTCCTAGCCTTGTGATCCTGAGCAAGTAGCTGAACTGTGAGTTAATAGTTGCTGGTCTCCATTCCTGGAGGAAGTTTCCACACTGGGAGTTGCCTATGCTGATACAGTAACTCCAGACTCTGTCCATCCCTTCCTCCAGTTCCCTGTGAAACAAGCCAGTGGCTACGTCTCTCTCTTCTGCAAGGAAATCTTAATTTTTATTAAAAAGCTGCAGACCTTTCCCAATTGTTGTTCCCCGATTTGTTGCATTTGTTTTTCCCCCCTTTTTCCAAAGGATTCATGGTAGGATTCCTTTAAAGTACAGGGATCCTCCACATACATTGATTGAACATATTGAAATAAAATGAAGTTTAGTTTGGAGAATATTGTAATGTTCTGATTTTTCTTATGCTTCAATAAGTAATATTTACCTCTTTAAGCACCAAAAGTTTGTTGTGTTTTTAAATTTTAAAACTCTCAAAAAAATAAAACTTTTTAATGAACCACTTGTGATGGAAATTTTTTAAAAATAATTTTATTGTTCATTAAATAAGATATCTTTTTCTTGAAGTCTCAGGCTCTCTTCATTATAAGCATTGAATTATTGTACTATGGTGACTTCAGGACTTTCCAGGTTGGTAGAGCTGTTGATTGCCATGCCAAACAGCCACATAGACTTAACCATCTTGAGTTCATTTTCCTGCTTTTGGTTAGTTTGTCTCATTTGTTGTACTTTCTTCCTCTTTCCTACCCCTAATACTAATTTGCCACATCTAATCTATAGTGGACTGGGAAACCAGATAATGATTTAGAATTGTGTTTTAAATAAGAGTAAGGC